TTTAGAGGTAAAGAATTTCCAAGTGGGCATTTCCTTTTAGGGCCATTGAGTTTTTATTTCCTAAAGTATGCCTTTAAGGTTCTAAGCAATTGTCCAGAAAACCATTAGAATCCCGTTCTTGTAAGCAATTGTGAAGCTCTGTTTCAGCCAGAGAGCTGGTGTGCACAATTTCTTTACAATAAAAGAACATGATATAAATTAAAATGTCTCAAGATGTCATACGGGCTCCAATAATAGAAAATCAGATAATAACTCAGAAACTAAGACTTCATACACATCTCTAACAATGGTAATGAAAGGAATTAATAAAAGAAACACAGATCCCATGAGAAATTAATAAGGGAATTGGATGAATTAAAGCAAACAACAAGTGAAAGAAACTTTGAAGACAGACAACTAGTTTTAAATTCGACACCTATGTTAAAAGGTACAGGTTCCTCATTTCAAATTAGGAATATTAAATAAAAAATAAAAGGCAAATGCTATTTATTAAGTTGGTCACCGATATCATCCACATACAAAGAACCATAAACTAAAATGAAGAGAGAGATGACAGAAGCAAGAGGACGAAAAGACAAAAAAACTTGTTTCAGTTTCGAGCTATTTGATAATTCAATGACCTTTGATTAAATTTCATAAATATTAACATGTTACAAAACTCACAACGCAAAAAAAAAAAATTAAAAAAAAACAGAGAAACTAGTTGTCATACCTTAACCTAACATAGACGCAGTAGATGAAGAAGTGGTGAAGGAGGAATTCGCCAACTCAGTGGTTGAGGGGTTGTCTACGACCTCGTTATTACGACAAAAACAAACCAGATTTATTTTTCTAGAATCAAAATCAAACTAGAGTGTTCATGTAGCAGCAAGTCTGATTTGATATTGTTAATCACAAAAACAAAGAAATAACCTGAGAGGGAGGAAGAGACGGAGACTGAGAGATGCAGAGGATGGGAGGGAGAGACGAGGGACTCAAGATTGCTTGGCCTCTAATGCCTCGGTTTTGTAATACTTGGAGCATTAAAATCGTGACCACCGTCGCAGCAAGCATCTCCCAGTCGCCGAGAACCCATACCCACCAAAAAAAAAAGATGAAAGGAGGTGGAGTCGGCAGATTTGGGCAGTAGAGTGGATCTGATCTGATTTGGAGAAAGAAGGCTTGAATAAAGAAGAAAGGATGGGTTAGAGAGGAAAGAAGAAGAAGAAAAAAGGATAAGTGAAAAAAGAGAGATGAAGGAAAGATGGGAGTGGCGGCTGAGTTAAGAAAGTAGGGTTAGGTTTTCCAAAAACCTTGTGGAAGGCAGAAAAATCGGTAGCTCCCTGTTCATGGCAGAAATAAGGCGCAAAAATACAGCCTCTCACACATTTTCTTCTCAACAGGCTCCACAGGGAGAACCAGAACCAGCCATGGTTTTGATGATTTTTTTAATTGGGAGGGTTTTTGGTTTTTTGTTGGTGATTTTTGCTCTGTTAGCGATATTTGTGCTCAGAATTATCACCACCTTGTTTGAATGATGATTTGCTGGGGGCTGATAAGCCCCGGCTGATGCCTTTGTGTTTTTTCCTCTAGGCTTTTCCCCCTTTGTGTTTTTTCCAAAACTTCACTTTGGTCCCCCTTACCAATTCTCCAATTCATACCTTTTGCCAGCAGATCAGCCCCGTATAGAATACCTGTCTTGTGCTTTTTCTTTTGTTTAATATTAGTTTGATAAAAACAACAAATAAATCTCATCATCACATTCCAAGTTTACATAAAACCCACAATAATATATTTTTCTAACAAAAACTCAATTCTAACTACAATAATA